GGAGGGGGAGAGAGATTATTACATATAATTGTAGCTGACATTAAAACATTTTTAAAAGAATATCTTAGTGTAACTTCTGTATGAACAATTTTCGAGATATGAATTCTTAAATTTGACATGAAATCTCGTATCAAAATTCACCCACAACATTGAAGAAAGGTAAAGGATTCTTCTTGAAAACAAGTCAATTTATATATCAAACTAATAGTTGAGAATTCAAACACTTATTAGTTTGAGATGCTTATCAATACTATTCTTTCACTCAATCAGTGCTTTTTATAATCATCATGATTTACAAAGTTTAATGGTATTACCTCTAAGCAGTATACATTGAATAACATTACTCCCGAATGATTTCAAAATCATATCTTCTACAACATACTTCAAAATCATTGGAATCAGTCTACGCAGTCAGCAGATTTTTTAAAATTTTATACTGTTTTTGAAAAAAATTAGCAAAAATGTATTACTTTTCCCAAGTTCTCCCACTCCATTTTTATACTTTTAAGTTACATTTATTATAAAGAAACATAATTTCATGAAAATGTAAAAAAGATAATGAAAAACAGGACGCAAATAATTATGTATTTATAAAAATGTAACATATGCATAATTTAAGAAATACAGGATTTATATGCACAATACAACCAAACTTGATTACATCTATATGCAAACACATTTTTACAAATACAATCAACTATGAGTTACTTTCCACTGTAAACATTACAGATGGAAGAAGTGATTATTTTCTTTTCAAAACTGAATTATTATAACTAGTTATTATAACTGTACAACCTGCTGTAAAGACTCCCCATAAAAGAAGACTAGCTTCAATCTTGTATATTAAAGACCTAATGCTATCGAGAAGTAGTTTCAATAGTTCGTTTGGTTTATCTTGAATAATTTTTACATCTGACAAAAATTCAATAAGTTCTGGATGATCATAACTAACTATGGGAAAATATTCTCTCATTTTTTCCCTTGTCCACCAAGTTTGTTTATTCCATCTAAATAAGAATAAAATGACAATAATAAATAAATAAAATTATTCAGACAATGACCAGGAATACAGATATATGCAAAAACACTTACGACTGATTCCATGCTGTATAAGAATAGCGATAAAGACTAGCTTTTATATATCTAGGTGGTTTTTGAAGGAATGGGTTTTCTACATTATTCATTAGAGCTAATACTTCTGGTTGACCACTTAAAAGACGATACGCTAATGATATTAACCATGGGTTTTGCTTACAAGTGACTATTGCAGCAAACCACATTTGCCAGTCAAGTCGTGGTTGATAAGGGGCTGGAAATAATAAATATTAAGTAAAGATTAAACAATCAAAATTACAGAAGAAAAATTACAATACTTGTATATACTAAACAAAATACTGTATTATTTACTTGCCTTTTTTCTTACAATATAAGAAAAAGAATATAAAATATTAATTTTCAGGATCACCTACCAACGAATGGTAATGGATTATTTATATTTCCTGGTTTATATAAAAATTCGTATTCTTTCCATGGGCCATAAATGTTATTGCTGCCTTCAATAATTATTTCCCATCTACCTAAATCTCCAATCATAAATGTAAATAATTCATGGCTATTTACTAAATGTAGGTGTTCAACTTTTGCTTGCATCTGTCTTAATTGAACTGGTACTGTCGAATTATAAGCATGATGTAATGTAGCATATGGTACCTAGGCATGAAAATGTTTCAATCATTAAATTTTAACTTTTAGTGATGCTAATTTCAAATGATTTTGCATATTACATACAATACTTATAGCAAAGATAAAACACATTACTATTGTATAAAGGCTTGTAACAAATGTTGTAAAGATCTTATTTTGTATTCCTTTAACTGCTAATAGAGATATAACTATTGCTTTTATCACTGTAAATGCAAGAGATATTATACCAATGTAGATGGAAATTGGAATTGTTTGTGACAAAACATAATCAAATTGTTCTTTTGTAAATGCTGAAATAATAAAGAAAATAGAAATCAGTAAGAAAAATATATCTTGTATTGCAAATATCTACATACCAATATCACTTTGGATAGTCCAATTATCAGATATTCTAAGATTATAATATACATATGTTACATAAAAGATGCCTCCATAAACTACAATACATAATAGTGTAGAAAATAAATTTATAATATTATAAGAATCATTTTTAGATTTTTTTTTATAGAAAAACTGGTCATCAAGTAAAGAAATGCATAAGCAGATAGTTAAGTAGTTGAAAAAATTATAATTTCCTGTTGCTATAATATTTATTTGAAGAAATACCTAGCAAAATCAACATAGATCATTAAGTAATCATATGTTAAGTTACCAATATATTGTTTTAGTTTATTCAATATATATACCTGTATATAAAATGCTAATATTCTCACTTTTCTGTTTGGAAAAAAGAATAGAAATGGAATAACAAGTTCAAAAATATTGACCATTACAGTAGTAAAACGTAAAAACCACACTGGTAAATGATGTGCATACCATGCTAATGAAGTAGGTATACATTGTGTTTCAAAATGTACACTTAACGCTGAAACAATGTTGCAAGAAGGTAAATATTTTTCTCTCACCTGTTATAGCATAAACATATTTGTTAAAACATTATACCACGTAATTTCCACCATAAGGGACAACCAGAAGCAAGTTTCACTACCCCGTTAGTAAACACTAAACGAAAAAGTAACCAGCGTATAGTCCAGAAAGTTACAGGATCACTTGGTGTACTTATTTTTCCACGTTGAGAATAGTAAAATGGTGCTATAAATATACATAAGAAACCTGCTTCCAATAGAAGTTTATCCCTACAATAGTACATAAAAGTATATATAAACTAAGTATAAACAATGGATTTTTTTATATATATATTTTCAGCTACATTACTGCATATATTCTTATTAACTCTCTGTCGGCATAAGGGATTGTTTAAATGTAGGCAAAAACTTCTATATTATTTTTCTCCAAAATGAAAAACATAAATTACTTACTCCATTAAAAATATTTCATTTAAGTATCATGTATATATCAAAATATAGACTTTAATATGTATCTAGAAATATTTTCAGATTTTTGTAATTATTGTCTAGAACAATAAAAAATCAATCCTAAATTTAAAAGATCTACTGTGATGGTTGCATCAAAAAACATTATGCTGGTGAAGAGTTAATTAAATGTAATTTGATTTTGATAGAAATTGTTTAAAATCTGATATGTTACATTACATATACTTTCTTAGAAATTGATTTCAAAAAATAATGCGAACAAATTTCATTAAATTAAAAAATTTATTCTGTAGTTTATATACTATCAATAGACTATAATAATAATATGCTCAAAAAGTTATTCAAAAATATTTTTTGCTAGAAAATTTAAAAAATATTACTTGCCATTGGAACTTCACAAATATTTGACCAATTTGATACAGAGAATAATATAATGACCAAAGTAATGCAAATACCAATGCAACACAAAATTTTTGTGAAATAAATCTGAAAATAATTATAATCATTATATGGGTCTTATTTAAATTAAAATAACAATTACATAATAATTACCCTGCAAAAGAAATAATAATTCCAACAAGCGATAATACATCTAACATGTATTCTATATTCAGTCCAAAGTAAGGAGCAAACCACAAGAATGTTGGTTTCTGTCTTAATTTATGAAATAGTGATGTATGAATTTTGAGGTCTAATTGAGCTCTAGCTGGCAGGATTCCATTATCACCATACAATCCTTTACAAAAAAAGAAAAAAGGAATAATAAAATAACTTTAAAGTATAACTCCTATTAAAAGAATGATAACGAGAAAGAAAACTATATAAAAATCGTGTAATATACATAAAAGCCCAATATGTACTCACTCGGAATTTACGTGTTTCAATGTATACTCACCTGGAATTTGTATGTAAAAGCTAAGAAACGCGAAAAGATATATAATGCATATTCCTCGTAAAAATAAATTACGAGTATATCGTACTTGAACCATTGTAGATTACAATATTTTTCATTCACTTTAAAAAGTTAAAATATATTAAAATATAATATTGAAAATCCTGAAACAATACACATTGATACTTTACATATAAAAATACTGTAATTTGAAATCTACAGTTAATAATTATAAACATTTTCTTATATATTGTTATTAGCGGGTATTGCATGAAGAAAATATAGTTACCTAATTATTTTGTAAAACGATGGAATATTGTTCACCAAACCATGAATTAAACGAGTAATCTATATATAAATATAATAACTATACACGACAATGATAGAACTGTCAAATTTCAATTATTTCTTCATAGAAGTTACTTAGTACTATTTCAACAAAAAAGTAGGAAAAAAGAACTAGCAATAGGGAATGACATAACGTAAACCTGGAAATCGAGATACCGACGAACATGAAAGCAAAGGTAACGCAACGCTAGTTGCTTTCTTAACGCGAAAGTGTTTTTACGTTCATATCAACTATACTCTATGCAAAGCAACTCTTCCCCACTCGTACGACACATTCATCGCCTAACAGACACAGGTCGCAGTGTACGAATGATATTCCTCATTTATGATCCTTTTCCTATAAATTCCTGTGCAAAATAAAGAAATGTAGCGTTCGCCTGGCAACTCTAGAATTATTAGTTTCAATAGAAAAATCTTGTAATGAGGATTGTAATTGACTTTTTCTTTTTTTGTATAAAATTGCACTAATATATACTATTCTTTATTAATTACGTATAAGCAATATATAGATATTGTAACTATAGCAAGTAAAAATGACAGAAATGTATTACGATTTATAAATATTGTATACATTTTGAGAATCTTTAGGATGGTTTGGTATTTAATTCATTGATATTGTAATACAGTATATTTGAAATATTTACAATGATTTCAAGAAAATATGTGTTAGAAGTAAAGTATTTAAATGTTGTTAATAGGATATATATATATATTTCAGATTAATAGAAAACTGAAATAGACAAAATTATTAATTTTAAGCTAAATTAAGTGAATATTTTGAAAAAAGGATAGTATAATTAGTTACTAAAAGGAAAAATTATGCAGTCAATTACAAAGCTATATTAAAGGATAGTATTATAATTTTAGTAAGTACAAATAGAAATTTTTATACGAATACTTACTTATATTAATTTACATAAAATATGTTTATGATTTTCAGATTGCAAAAGCTGAGATTTCAAATTAACATCATTTATGAAAATATTACATTTGCTATTATTTTAGTATTAAAAGATAATTTCTTTAGATAACTCATTAAAATAATATATGACTTAACTGAAAAGATATTGTACCAGTCACAATTAAATCACAGTCTAATCATAAGTCTAATTCATAATTCTTCAGTTTAATCCACATGACATTACAGCATTTAAGACTAATCAACATGATATTACAACTGTAAGCCTTGAACAATAGAATACCTTGATACTTTTAAATATCAGTTTCTGCAAAATGCATACTATAGATGGTAGAATATTTTGTTAATTTATAGTATATATATATAATTTCTATGAAGTATAAAAGCCATCCATTTTTCTACATTTTCTCAACTTTAGGAAATAAAAGTATAGAAATATAACTATTACCTTTTAAAGTACCATAATTTTCCTTACAATTAGAAACACAGCAATGTTTTGTCACATTAATTTGTTTTAAATATAATGAGTTAAGCATTAATCAAGTACTTTGGTGTTAAAATGAAAAAAAATTTTTAAAATGAATTTAGTGATCAATGTAATTGTAAATTTATATATGTTACTATTATAATATTGTTAACATTGACTTAAAATATTTAACACGTATCTATTTTTTCAATACTTTAAATAGCTTGAGATTATTATATTAATATAAACATTTGAAAAATAGGTGGAAAACTGAAAGATTGATAGAAAGAGATTGATAGTAGTGGAAAAGTAGAAGAGAATAATAAATTGGGTTGGTCTTTATTATATATCTGAATGCATTATTTTTAATAGATTTAACAATTTGTTAATAATTTGTCATTCGAAATCATTATTTGGTTAATATAGATTTTATTTCTGTTTGATAATTAAGTACAAATAATTGGAAATTGACTAGAATTGATTAATGTATGCATAATGATGTATTTCATGTTTACATTTACAAAGCAAAACTATGCATTAAAATTATGTAGATTTAATTATGCATGTAAATTTAATTAACCTATTTCATTTCATAATATTTTGTTTCCATTTCTGCAAGTAATTCTAATTGTTGTTTTTTATTAAATTCATCAATAAAATTCACAACTTCCATATGTTGTACGTTACTCATAATATTAAACTTTTTCTTTTCATTATTTATCCATTCTTTGATATTTTCTGATTGATTAAAATAATAATAAACTCCAATAGGAAATAATATGTATAACATCATTCTTTGTACTTCCATTTGCCAATTTGCCATTTGTTATAGATCTATAAATATAATATTAATATAAATGGAATATAATAGACTATAAAATAAACTATATATTTTTTATTGTTAACAATTTTTCTAAATATATATAACTTTTTGTTGAAACATAGAAACTTTATGGTAATACTTTACTTGGATACACAATAGCATTAGATAATATACAATAAAATATATGATATATTATTAGAAGAGATATGTTTCTATTAATCTTAATAATTAATAATGAAAAATTTTACTTACAAAACACAAATCCGTAAGAAATTTCTTTTAAATTTGTCTGTATTCAAATAAATACTTCTTGATATGTGAGAATCACTAATATGGAGAAAAATAATTCCATACTATATAATATTATAGCTTTAATGTTGGTAAAATTGCTCGGAAAACCGATACTCTCTTTAAGATTCTTTTCGTAATGTTGTTTTGGTGTATGTTCGAATGTTTTCTTCTAACAAATTTAAAAATGATCGTGATTTTTTAATAATAAACACGGAGTTTGAATACTAATAGACATTATGGAAACCCTGTTACCATCAGAAATAGCTAGATTAGTTTTTGGTAAGAGTGGTATGACATGTCATTATGCGTCTATTACAATAACCTGTTGTATGGCGGGAATGTAAATACTTTCTAGTTACAGTAATGAAATGTTAGGGATGTAATAAGATTACTTTTAACATTATTTTAATATTATTTTAATTGTATGAACGAATAAAGAAATATTTAATTAATTAAATAACAATTACTATGGTATCAATTATTTTTATAAAAAATTTATTTTAATTTGTGTATAAAATGAATTATGAGGTATTTTAGATAATTAATTTTAGGGTACCTTGAAAGTCAAAAATGTATGGAAGCTGCTAAGATATTTTTAGAAACATCTCCACATTTGCAAGAATGTCGTACTGTAATTTCAAATGGAAAACGATTTAGTACTAAAGTTAACAAAATGGCTTTGACAGATGTTATTGAAAAGTTTTTCGCTATTAACTCAGTTGGTAAGATTTTAATGACTGTAAAATTCATAGGTAAAAGTATTTTCATTCCGTAATCATTTGTTAAAATTTTGTCAGAAAACATATTTATTTATAGTTCATGAACGCCTTAACAAAATTGCTGATTGCGAGCAGTTGAAGCAGTGTGGAGATTTACTTGAACAGTTAAAATTTCTTATGGAAGAAACTCGTGGCCAACGTTTTGTTGTTAATATCAATGTTCCTTCACAGGTATAAGGAATGTTAATTACAATGTTGTTGATACCATTATAATAGTGTATCCTGGTGTGTTTATACTATTTATTTATATATTTTTAGACCAATTCTCAAATATGCAATAATTCTCCAATAATATCTTGTAGCACACGTAAAAGACGTAACAGTACTAGTGATCGTGAACGATGTAAACGCACAAAAATAATATCAAATATATCGCAACAGCTCGCTTCATCCGTTGTTCAAAGTAGGGATACATATATATGTGTAAATTTTGTAATATCTTTGTAATATTTTCAGTTTTTTGTTAATATTTTTAATTTTGCTACCGATTTTCATCTTATTATAGTACCCAGTTTTGATAGCATAGAAGCAACTCCACTGAAAAGCCTACCAGGTTATATAGATATATCTGAACAATCCAAGTCTATTACTAATATCAAAGAGAAGAAATGTAGCAACTCTGTACAATATCAAGGTCTGTTCAATTTAAATAAATATAGTTATAAATCATATGTAGTTAAATTGAATATTAAATTGTTAAATTTTAAGATAGACAGTTAATATCAATAAAATATGACTAATAATAATAAAAATCATAATGGCATTAATAGTTATAATGACGACTAATTTACATTTATTAATATATTTATTAATACATAGAATTATAGTTAATCATAAAATTAAAGAAATATAGAAAGCGTAATGTGGTTTTAAATACTTAAATTAGGCAGTGATGAAAATATTCAGAACATACAGGATGTTGTAATAAATCAGACATGTGCAGACAACAGTATAAAAGACCTATGCATGTTTGATAAGTGCACCACAGCAACAAGCACAGAAGAATTATTAAGTTACTCATGTGCAGAAGTTCAAACTACTCCATATGATACACCAGAATCTGAATCTGAGAGTAATGATGAACCAATAGAAAATTTGAGTGTAAGTAATGTTATAATACTTTATATAACAGTAATTTAATTCATTCTTAACGTTTTATTGTCTATATTATAGTTGTTAACAAAGGAGCTTTTAAATCGAACAGAGCTACAAGAACGAATCGCTGAAAACATAAATAAAGCAATATTACCAACGGATATGTCATCAAAGGATGAAGGTTTAAATGATTCTGTGATAGGTGAAGCAAATACCTCTATTATGATAGAATTAAATAATGCAATTAAATCAATAGTAGAGGCAACAGAATCTGATCCTGTGTTTGAAAAATTTCTCGAAGAAATCATTGGACCAAACACTGAAACTGATATAAGTTTTGATGAAGATACTGAAACTAAATCAGAAACAAAATTTTGTAATAGAGTACAAGAGGAACGACTTGATGTGATTCCAAACTATTATAATTCACCAGAATCTGTAGTACTAGATGTTAAACCACCCACTGAATTGAATATAATAAATGTACCATTAAAGCACAAACTTCATAGTTCTTCTAGACAACAAAATCCTCAAAATGAAGTTGAACAACATGATCAGGAGAAAGAATACAATATGTTGGAAGATCAAAACGCTGCAGCAGTACTAAGTATAATAAATGCAAATATTGTTAACAATAAATCAGTAAACGATAAAAAGATTATCGATACAACAAAAGAAATTGTGAGTTTGTTGAATAGTGATAGTGAAACAAAATTATCAATGCTTGAAGTTTCGCCTAATAAAGATAAAGGGAAAACTGGAAAATTAGTAACTGATGATATTCAAAAAGATGACCCTAATATTATAACAATGCTTCAAAATAATGACATGGAAGCAAAGATTAAACAGTCGTCGGTAAAACGATTACGACTTACAAAGCTTGCAAAACAAGAGAAATCAGAAGGTAGTATGAACAATTATACATCTGAACAAAAGGTAATGACAATACCAACGTTAATAATGTGTTCGAAAGAAGAAATTAATAATATATTATCAACAAATTCTTGTCCACCTACTTGTTCTGTAACATCTACTACAAATTCACGATTCATTCCTATTGTTCCCAAAGAATCTGCAACCAACAAAACTAAAAATTTCGCAGAAGCATTGTATCTAACAACTGTAAACGTTGCTCAGAAAGTAACGTCGCCACTTTTTAATACCACTTCAAATGATCTGAGAAACTTAATTTCTTGTGCAATAACGATGACAACAACAACGACGATGGCGACGATGACGACGATGACGACTATGACGGCGACAGCGACAACAATGACGATGGCGATGGCGACGACGACGATGACGGCGACGGCGATAACAGCAACGATGACGATGACAACAACGACGACGACGACGACGACGACGACGACGACGACGACGACGACAATAATGACCACAATGGCAACGACAACAGCAACAACTGCCAAACCAGTTGCTACAGAATCAATAACTCTATATGGCAGTGAAACTAGTACTAAAACATTATTAGATAGTACAGATATGCCTACGATAAATATAGAAGATAATATTAGTCTGTCAGCTTCTGGATTGTCTCCATATATAAAATTCAATTATAGTACCGGCAATCAAAGTCAACCGAATATTGACTTGATATCTGTGGTCCAAAATGTAAAAATTGCTTCATTGAAAACAAATAATAATGTTAACGATCGACATTTTTTAACTTCCAAAAAAACTGATTGTGATATCATTAATAAACGCACTCCAAAATCACTGTTGAAAAGTAGATCGAAAAATTATAGATTAAGTTTATCAACACCTAGAAGGAGGAATAGTCATATAAGAGCTCTTGATTTTAATACGCCAATAAAGGCAACAACTACATCGGATAAAATAGTTGGTGAAAATGAAAGTGTGCATTTTTCTTCAGGATCTGCAAAATTGGTTAAATCTGTATGTCGAAATTCCCTTTTTAAATCTCCACCATTTACTAGTACCGCTATAGCTACGCATAAAGTTAAAACTCCATTGAAGTTTTGTCGACCTTGCAAACTTCCAATAGTAACAAGAAGCCCAATACCAAAGCTTATGGGTGAGTGGGAAAAGTATAATGGACTTGGAGTAACTATAAGTGATGTTCCTTCAGGTTCAAACATCAGCATTTCTTCTGAGAACAAAGCTACTAAGACTCAAACCAAGCCATTGCAAGTTACAAAAGAAACATGGGATGCAGACTTGCGAAAAGCTTTACATATAATAAATGACGATCATGAGAGAACAGAAATGCCCATTAGTAATAGAAAAATACACTGTGCAAAAGTTGGTAAATCGAGTGTCGAACCGTCAGTGAAAAAGGATAAAGCTAATTTACGTGTACTGAAAGGAAAAAATAAAAATATAACGACAAAGCAAGATGGGACTGTTAAAAATAGAAGAAATAATCGAACTATAGGAGAGCGGAATGCAATAGAATCGTCAATCATAAAAAGCATAGATCATAAGGTAACCGAAGTAGATAAAGATTTTCTAGTCACTTACGTTAATCATAATACTATAGTAAATAATTTTTTCAATGAAAGAAAAGACGATATTAACTCACAGACATATATAATAAATAAATGCAAGGATGTTATTGAACAAAAGAACATCAAACATCAATTGACGTTAGCAAAGAACAATTGTTTATATAATAATACGACGATTACTGATAATTTACCATTCGAAAAAAAGAATACAAAAAAATATGTTCAATTAAAAACGTTAAAAACTAATTTGAATAAATGTGGTCGAATTGAAAAGAAACCGCATATAGAAAACAAAGTTATTTCCGTGGATGCTATGCAGCGCTCAGAATTTATAAAAACTTCCATGGATATGCAACACTTATTACAAATACCTAATTTTATTGATCTTGAAACACCAAGAAAATTTGAAAATCCTTCTAGTGTTCCACCGACACCAAGATTACTCAGTCCAAGTAGTAATACAACACCACTTATCAAATACAGTGAAGACTTTGGTAAGATGCGTAGTTTCATAAATACACCAGAGTTTCCAACAACACCTTGCATAGCATTAACTCCAAAAATTTCAGAGCAAACAACCATAGATAATATGAAAAAAGAAACCTTTAATTCTTGTTCTCCATATTATAAACCTACCTTTGAGCAAAATGAATGTAAAACGTTATCAAAATTGGATGATAATATACTAAAATCAACTACATTATCATCACAATGTACAAAACAATGTATTCCTCATAACGTTATCAGTTGTACAAATGCATATCAAACTTGCGTATCTACGAAATTAGAAATAACACAATTTGAAGTGATTAAAGAAAACTTGCCAAAAGAAGAAGCAATCAAAGAACTTAAAATATCGAACAATTCACGAGATTCAACTTATTATGCGAAAATGGACTATATTGAGGGCGATACCAATAAAAATAATACAAATAAAAGTATGTGTGAGGAAATAAATATCAATAATGAAAAATACTCGTTAAACAGTGATGAATCAAACGATAGCGATGCATCAGCATCTTCTTCCTCTTCATCTTCATCTTCATCTTCATCGTCATCATCGTCATCGTCGTCGTCGTCGTCGTCATCGTCATCGTCATCGTCATCGTCATCGTCATCGTCATCGTCATCGTCATCGTCATCGTCATCGTCGTCGTCGTCGTCACAATCACAGTCACAGTCACCGTCACCCTCACCCTCACCCTTACAGTCACCCTCACCCTCACCCTCACCCTCACCCTCACCCTCACCCTCACCCTCACCCTCACCCTCACCCTCACCCTCACTCTCACCCTTACGGTCGTCACCGTCGCCGCCACAGCCACAGCCACAGCCACAGCCACAGCCACAGCCACAGCCACAACCCCCGCCACAACCCCCGTCACAACCCCCGTCACAGTCCCCGTCCACGTCACAGTCGTCGTCGCCGTCACAGTCGTCCTCGTCCTCGTCCTCGTCCTCGTCCACGTCCACGTCCACGTCACAGTCGTCGTCGCCGTCACAGTCGTCCTCATCATCATCATCATCATCATCATCTTTTTCAACTAATTTAAAAGCAACAAATTCATTGGAAAAATCTTCTCCCGATAAAAAATGTAAAAAAGTTTCAAATCAAAACTATGTTAACATAACTAACGATTTGATACGTCAAGGTGCTTATGTTAAAGAAACAATAAACGATAGAACAGAATGTTCCACAATTTCAGGAAATAATTCTCCAAAGTTACAAGTGAAACCAACAAATATATTACCCACAGAAGCAACAATTATTGCATTAAGAAAATGCGAATCTTCGCCATCAAAAATATTTTCAGTATTAAAAGATGAAGATTTTACATCTGATATGAAAGAAACTCCTGCTAAAAATGAGACTTCATTAAATGAAGAACATATTTCTGAGGCTCCTAATAGTTCAAAGACTGGTGTGGAAAACTTGACTAATCTATCTTCTAAAATTTCAGCAGTAATGTCTTCAGGAGATCAAAAGTTACTAAAATCAAATAAAAATTTATTCATAGAAAATTTGGTAACCAAAAAATTAAAACAGAAACCCAAAATAGTAAATATACAACATTTAAGATCGGGTTCTTTAATTACCTCTAAACCAAATAAATCTGTAAGACATTCTTCCATAATGCAAAAAAGGCAAAGGTCTTTAACTATGGATAAAAAATTTGTTGTACAATTGGAAGCAAAACGTCAACGAATGATAGCAAAATTTCGTGAAATTCCAAAAACTAATTTTACCAGAAAAAAATTTCAGCAGGGACGAATCATTTTTAAGGGTAAAAATAATAATAGTTTAAAGAAAAAAAGCAATCAGTACAAATATATCCAAAATGAGAATAAACTTAGTGAAAAAAGAAGAAAGAAGAAAAAGAAAATAGAAGAATCAAATAAATCTAATAATGGTAATACTAGCAACAGCAATGATAATCATATTGATGCTGATAATAATAATGTTAATAACAACAACAATAGGAATACTAACAATAGCAATAATAACAATAAAAATAATAGTAATGATAGTAGTAATGATAATAAATGTACAAAAATGAACCATTTTTCTATATATAGCGTATCAGGCAGTAAAATGTATAATTTGGAAGAATCAAAACAAAAAGATAATAATGACAAAAGTATACAAAATAATGCTTTAAAACTTGAAATTGCAAACAATGTATTTGTAAATACAAAGGATGATACAAAGAAAATTATTGAATTGACAGTTAAGAACATTAAGAGTGATGTTGAAATCAATGTAAATCAACAGCTAAATATGTCTAGATTGGAAAATAAGACTTTTAATTTGAAAACTGTTCAAAATAAAGAAATAATAAGATTAGATGTACCAAGTAATCTTGAAATGAAGCAGACTCAAGCCAAAATTAATGTAGAATACAAACAATGTGAAGATAATATCACTAATGAAATTATTTTACATGAAAATGAATTTAGTATCATAAAAGATGTAGAATATGATTCTAATGAAAAAGGTGCATACAAACTAAAAGAGTATCCAAATTGCAATGATACTAAAGGTATTTTATTGAAATCGAAGGTTGATCAAGTAAAACGAGATTTGTTTAGTGATGATGAAGAAACATTAAAGGAAGAAGAGGTATTAAATGTTATTGAGTTTTCGGCCAATCAAGAAAATAATATTGTTTCTACTCCAATGTTTGATACTGTTAAAAATACAGTTATAGAAAATATCAATATGAAAAATCCAAAAAGTTTATCACGAGTTCTTCAATGTTTGCAGCTTGTTCCTAGATTTAAACACGATTATATAGTGGAGTCTCAATGTATGAAATATAATCGTAAAATAGATCTTAATGTAACTATTCCTAATTCGGTAGAATATCATTTTCGATATGATGACAATGCATTCTTAAAAAAAAGAAGACAAAGGTACAGCAATCATGAGTTGGAATTTCAAATCAATATTATTTTGAACGATCAAAATTACGATGAACGTATTAAAGTAATGACAGCTACTGATTATGAAGAAATATTTAATCTATCACCAAAACCTAAAAAAAGATTAGGAAGCAGGAAATCACCGATTAAATATGAAAATAGTTGTGAAACACTAAATAAATCATCAAATACTTTAACCATAAAAAATATGCATGATAAGCCTTTAGCAACTTCGTCTCCTTTGTATAAATTGTCAATGTGTACAGTAAAAAAAGTTGCCATTAAAACTGCTACAATAAATGAAAAAAATAATGAAGTTCAACATGAAAGTAAAAAGAGATTGAAAGTAGATAAAATTCGAGAATTCGATAAAGGTAATTATATCTATTAAAAATACTTTAGAACTAAAATATCAATTCATTAATATCTATATATTAATATCTATATCAAATCATAATATCTCTACCATAATTTTACTAATTTTAGCAAATATTAGTATTGCAAAAATTCCAAAAGGAAAGATGTCAGAAAGGAAAGAAAGTAAACAGGTTTGTAATTGATTTTAAGTTCACACATTTTCTAAAATTAATAGAGAATTTAATGGTTAGCTCATTTTATTTTTATTGTAGATTGAACAACGCCAGTACACAACAGACCCACAAACATTACTGAGCAATTTAGATTTGGATAAATTTTTAACTTCGGTTCATGGACCAGCATGAGCATAAAATAATTCTTTTGCATTGTATAAAATATATAATGAATGCGAACGACATAACGCATTTGTAAATTATCGAATTAAACAGAGTTTTCGAGTGAAATCGAAATGACATCGTTAACACCACCGAACTGTCTACAGTTTTTAGCTATGGGTATTCAATTCCAAGCAGTAAAACGGAAAAAATTGTTGATTAACTTTGAATTTCAACTTAATTCGTTAACTACCACTTGCTATCAATTTACTACTATTAAATTATGTTTAATACTGTTAACATTTAAAAGAATTTTAATTTTTTGTGAATCATACTTAACAGTTCCCAAAAACAGAACTTATACTAAACTGACATCGTCCAACACTGATTGATTGAATGTCTCATATTATTGTTTTCCAAATCGTATAACACTTTTATTGTAGCAACCACGATATAGTGAGGTCGTAAATTAAATTGTTAAGATATAGCAAGACTGGAGATAAAAACCCTAAAGATTGGCACTAATTTATGTTGTGACATTCAGAACTGTAATTTTGAACTCGACACCCGAAAAATGATTGAGAGCATAATCATATTACTGTTAATCATTTGTTCTGGCAACTGAATTTGTTTACTTTAATTCCTGACTGATTTTACGACCTCGCTATACTGTAGCCTCTGCTATACTTTTAGGTCTAACTGACTTTATGAACATGCTGTATTACTCAAATCTACTATACATTTTGTAGTAACATAAATATTGGATATTTTTTTAGTTTTATTCATTATTTCAGAACCTATTGTGTATTAAATGTTTACATATATATAAATACATATACATATTGGATAAAAATTAATCCTGTAAATAGAAGGAAATGAAAACAATGCCAAATTTCAAGTTTTCACTTATGTGTCTTAAATGAAAAATATTTTTTATTGAAAAATATTGTTTAATGGATGTAACATGAATTGATACACGACTGTAAATTAAAATTACATGTGAAAACCATATATACTTTGTTCATAAACAAGAAGAAAAACACATGTTAATGTATTCAATAATCTCAAACCACTGAAATATCTATTAAATAAGAAAATAGATATTCAAGATTTAGACTTTACTATTTTATCCACATCATCCATAACAGATAATAATTTTTGCCACTGGGTCATGTTTAAACAAATACCTGTTTAAAGTAAAATAAATTCATTTTTGGAATCATTGTACAATATATACAAATGCATAAATAAAATTTAGTAATACCTTTCTTCCCAGGCTTTAAATTTGCTTCTTTATCATAATACATTTCTCTAATGTCAACATATAATTTCCCTTTAAAATCTCTTACACTAATTTGACGATTATTTCCCAAATCCCAAACAGCATCTTCATCTTTATTAGACTCTTTTTTTGGCTTTTTTAATACTTTCTCTTCTTTGTCCTCAATTTCTCTTTTTTGCTTCTTTTTTATTTTTACTTCCTTATATAACAAAAAAAGATATATTTTATAGATGTACTAATTTATATGATATGTAAATAACTAATTTGTACGCTTCTCCATCAACTTCAAACAGTGAAGAGAAGTTTTTAAATTTAATCAAATTAATATTTGATATTTAAATATATTATTCAATATATATGAAATACCTCATCACTAATATCATCGTCGGTGAACACGTATTCTTTTGATTTCGGCATTTTCTATAAACTTGTTTACCTAAAATAATTTTGTTATGTTTGATTGAATTTTAATCAATATTAATTATTATTTTCTCTTAAAATATAATATTTTATATAGAAAGGATCAAGCTAATAATAATTTCGTAAAACTCAATGATTTTGTTTGTTATAACCTTTTAACAAATACAACACATTTACACATTTTATTTGGTTAGAAAATGGAACTTGATATGACGATTCAGAAGAATGTCAATGAATGAAGCAAAGATATAATTACATTAAACTTACAGCAAGAACGTGAAATGATACACTATTTATTTTAATAATGTTTAAAATGGTCAGAAATGAATATTGAACAAACGTATATTACATGCGTGCACATATGTATGTATTACTTCCGTGTATCGCATTGATTTCCGTTTTTTTCTGAAGTTCAAATAATTACGTTGAACGCATATTTGATATTAATATTTAGTCGCTTGATACTAACACGTGTTTTGGTCTATGTTTTTTTGTACGAGTTTATTTTATACAAGTAAATTTTAATACATTTGATCTTTACAACTTACAGATTAAATGTAATTTTATATTTAGCACATCATTTAATGATATATTAAAATTTGATATTTTACATTAATCAGAATACTTACAGGTTGTCATGTAACTAGTGGCACAAGCGGGAAGATAATGATTCTATATAAAAAACTGAATAAAAGATATAGAATAAAATTTTTTCATTAGAAACTTCATTAGCGAGAAAATCGACTTTGAATATCCACCTGGATACTTTATATATATGTATATATGTTTAGTATATTTTGGTATATAGTAAAGATATAATAAAATAATAAAATACTTATTCTCTTTTTGTTTCCTAGTTTACCATCATATTAGTTAAGAGAAAAGAATTGTTTACCTTGTAAGAAAACACAGCAAAATACAGGATAAACAAAATAATTTGATCACCTTGAATATTTCGATTGTTTTTTTATAGTAGGAAAAATATTACCTTAAAAAAGACTTTTTTTATTGTTATGATATTTGCTCCTCCAAACTAACCAACTTTTTCCTGTGATACTTTTCTCCGATTATAAAAAACAAGTGAGATATTTGAGGTGATCAAGTTATTTTATTCACTCTGTATGTATTATGTTATGTAGGCAGTGATATACATGTTACATTAGTGATCAATATTGAATACAACAAATCCTTTGTACTTGTATGTAATCCATATTACGAGAAATGTATTTGATTATTGCTTATTTTCACATAGCTTTCGATGTACTTAAATTTATATTATATTTATCATTAAATATTGTATATATTAAAATTTGTCATTAAAATGTTAATGATAAATAAAAAATCAGAAAAACGTGCAACGTATTATATTAAATAAAAAGCGTAAATAATTTTTAACTGAAATTTTATGTATTGATTGGAAATAATATTCCTCATAGATATACACACACTATGTGCAAGTAAAGAATTAGGTTTTATTAAGTTTCACTTAGAATAAATTATGGATGTTCATATATTTTATTTTACAATACATCACTACTCATGTCTTCCATTTTTAACATTACCGTATCCTTTGTTTTAGAAATATCTTTTTTTCATTTATAATAATTAATTCAATTCGGTTAATTATTATTATTTCCTATTCGAGATGTTCGTGTTAAAGGCCGGCGACTGTCTTCATCTGACCCATATATGACTTCTTCGTCAGAATCATTAATCATAGAAAAGGTGGGGTTGTCCTTCGTTATAGAGGAATCTATATTGATCGAAACAATAATACATTTATTTAAAATGAATTTCTTATTCTTTAACCGCAACTACAAAATACTTACGTTGACCGTATATTTGTTGATACGCTGGTGCATATACATAAGCCATTGTGTACAAATAAAAATTGAGAAGACCATATAAAGCCATAAATTGCGCAGATGAACGATAATACGTAGTGAGACGAGAAGCAAAGCTATCTTCAAAAATACCAGCTCCAAATTGTCGTGCCGTTACACAACCGCAAACCAACGAAACTACAGCGGCAAGTAGTGTCAAAAAACGTAAACGGAGATCTAAAAACAAAACCAAAAAGAAGGACGGAATGAAAAGAAATAAGAAAAAAAGATAATATATTATAAATTATATATAAGAAATTCATACATACCAAAATATGGCATTGATCTCAATTCACTGTATGCTCTCAATATCAAAAGAAGAAGATATGCTGTATAGAATCCTCCTATTGTGAAAAAGAACACTTTGAAACCCTACAATCATATAGATCTTTAAGTATTAATTAAGAATTTTATATGCTAAATGAAATTATCAATTATCTTGATAACTTACAAAATAATTTGATGTATCAAGGACATAATTGTAAGTTGGATCTTCTAATTCAGTACAGCGTAACCATGTTGCTAAAATAAATGCAGAACACCATAGTAACCCCACTACCATAACTTTTGGTAAATAAAATGTGATCAGACGTCTTTCATTCTATTAAAATGTAAAATTCATAAGTAGGAAAACTATAATTGCATTTAAGTTATACTATATTAATTAAAAGGACATTATACTTGTCTTAAACCATGGTAAACACATAACCAAAACATGAGAACTGCACAAAGAAAAGTTGTCTGTAGAATTGCATCTATCATACCAGGTACCCAAGAATTAATTAAAAATGTCATTGGAAATAATGGATCTACAAAAGTAAAATAAATTAATTTTTTGAAAATGAATAAAAATACTAATTTTTAATATCTTACTATTATATAAAATAAGTAAAGGAAGAAGTATAGAAATCCATTTCTGTTCTATTGACCAATCATGTAACGAATATTTTCGTAGAGAATGTCCAAACCAGCACTAAAAATCAATACAATTAATAGACAATATGATGTTTTCCTTTAAGTAATAGCAGGTATATTTATAGTTGTTCTTTACCATAACTCCAAATGCAGTTAACAAAAATATAAAACGGAACCAAATCTCAAACTCCGTAAATGCTGGATTGTAATTCTTAAACTATGAATAAGTAAGAACATTATCAAGTGCAATTGTTTCAATTCTGGAAAATCTTGTACTATAACCATCTTATGTCATATAGTGCTTACTGACGTAGAATGTGAGATCGCGTATATTATAACGTTGATGGAAGCTCTCGAGTCCATGGAAACGAACAGAAATAATATAGTAATTATAATCGAGAAATCCGAGATGAGCAACTATGAGTTCTTCACATGTTTGTCTTTCACATTTCAAATGTCTAGTTCTTTGAAGAAAAAAACATATATTATTAATGCTTTAATATCAAATTTAAAGAAATGAATTACAGTATATATGTCACAGACATACCTGTTATGGCCAGTTTCTGAGGACAAAACAGATATAAGTTTATGGTCAATGGTAATACCATCTATGGAGATAGTTATTTGAAAACTTTTATCATATCTTTCATCTATAAAATTCGAATTGTAATTATATACATATATATATAAAAGTGTGTGTATGTGTGTGTATGTGTGTGTGTATGTGTGTGTGTGTGTGTGTGTGTGTGTGTGTGTGTGTGTGTGTGTGTGTGTGTGTGTGTGTGTGTGTGTGTGTGTGTGTGTGTGTG